AGAGAATCTTGACCATGATACACTCATCAAGTGGTCACCCAGCCCTGATTTGAGGGCTTCAAGAGAAGTTGAGATGAACACTTATTAGAAATGATATAGAGAGGATTGTCTGTCAGGTGTGAGTTAGACTAGATGCTTCTGAGATCCCTCCAACTTTTTTATTCTATGGTTCTGTAATTTGCAACTAGGAGCCCCTGGTAATGATGGGATATGATTTGCCCCCTGAAAACTGCTTTAGCTGTATTCCAGAAATTTTGGTTCCATCCCTGATGCTCCAAACTTTCTATGCCATGCCACAGAATAATAATAATAATAAAACATTTATATAGCACCTACTATGTGTTAAGCACTTTACAAATATCTCATTTGATTAGCACAACACTAACAGGTAGGTGCTATTATAACTCCCATTTAACAGGTGAAGAAACTGAGGCAAACAGGTTAAGTGACTTGCTCAGGGTCACACTGCTCGTAAGAGTCTAAGGCTGGATTTGAACTTAGGTCTTCCTAACTCCAAGTTCAGTGCTCTCTTTTCCATATAAGACCCAAGGTGCCTCCTTACCCTGGAAACTTGTATGGACTGATGGGGAGTGAAGTGAGCAGAACTAGAAGAACATTGTACACAGTAACAGCCACATAGTTCGATGACTAACGTTGGTAGACTTAGCCCTTCTCAGCAATACAAGGATCTCCAAAAGTATCATGATGGAAAATGCTATCCACATCCAGAGATAGAACTATGGAGTTTGAACGCAGATCGAAGCATATTATTTCCTCTTTGTTTTCCTTCTGTTTTGTTTTGTTTCCTCTTTCTGGTGGTTCCTCCTATTGGTTCTAATTCTTCCTTAAAACATGACTAATGTGAAAATATGTTTAATAGGAATGTATATGTAGAGCTTATATCAGATTGCATGCCATCTGGGGGAGGAAGATAGGGAGGGAGAGGGAGAAAAATTTAAAACTCAAAAACATATGGAAGTGATTGTTGAAAACTAAAAATAAATTTTAAAAAATATGGTCTCAAATTCAGCAAGACCTATCTCTGACACACTGGCTGGAAGACCTTGGATAAGTCATTTAACTTCTCAGTGCTCTAAGCCAGTGGAGTCCAACTTAAATAGAAATAGGGCCACTAATCCATATACAAGGATCTCAGTGGTTCAAATATTATCTTGGTCCTAAAAAGAAAACATTATATGTTTTATTTTATTTTTATTTACTTTGTTAAATATTTTCCAATTACATTTGAATCTGGTTAGGCAGTTGCAGGTCACCAGTATTTGATACCTCTAGTCTAAGCAACTCTCTAAGACTCTTAAATTATGTGAAAGGTCAACCTGCATTTGCAATGGATAGAGTGCTGGACCTGGAGTCAGGAAGACCTGAGTTCAGATTTGGCTTCAGACACTTATTACTTATTACAAGGTCACTCTGTGACCTTGGGCAAGTTACTTGTGCTATACAAATGTTAGTTATTATTGGAAGTAATTATAGAGTAGAAAAATAAATGGACTTGGAGTTGAAGGATCAGGCTCTAATCCCACATCTGCTGTGTGACTTTGGGCAAGTCACTTAACCTGTCTGGTCCTCAGTTACCTCCTCTATAAAATGGGGAGAAGGACTTGGATTAGTTAACCTCTTGAGTCCTTTCCAATTCTAAACCTGTTATTCTAATAAACCACAGTGTCTTATCTAAACTTTCTATCTCCCCCAGGACTTTCCTCTAGCTAGTGCTGAATAAACTTTTTGTTGACAGAGGAAAGGCTCAACCAAAACCACACAGCTTTCCAATAACAATAATTAACATTTTAAGGTTTACAAATATACTTCCAACCACACAGGAAGGTAAGTTCCCTTATTATTCCTATTTTAGAGATGAGGTGGAAAAACTGTGTAACTTGCCCGGGGTTGCATGGCTATAGTAAACATGTCTGAAGTAGAATTTAAACTCAGATCTTGCAGACTGAGTTCTGCACTTAGCTTGCTGTTGTTAGTTGCTTCAGCCACCTCCCACTCTTCCTGGCAAAGATGCAGGAGTGGTTTGCCTTTTCCTTCTCAAGACCATTTTGCAGATGGGGAACTGGGTTAAGTGACTTGTCCAAGGTCACACAGCTAGGACATATCTGAGGTCAAATTTGAACTCAGAAGACGAATGTTGCTGACTCCAGCTCGCCGCCTGGCGGCCCCCCTGCACCTGGCTACCTGGGGAAAAGCCCCGGGTGGAGCAGCCCTGCATCTAGGTGGGCTGGAAGCTCCAGCCTCGGAATCCGGCCGGGATAAGGGCGGGGGAGGAGCCTGCTCCGGGACGCTTATAAGCCGTGCTTTCTGCCCCACCCTCCTCCTCCGGACACAGCGGGGAGTGCGTGGCTCTTGTGAGTCTGGCGGCAGCGGCAGCAGCAGCAGCCGCAGCCACAGCAGCGAGTCGGTGGCGGCCATGGTGCTGTGCCCGGTGATCCGGAAGCTCGTCAGCAAGCGCGTGGTGCTGGCCAGTGCCTCGCCCCGGAGACAGGAGATCCTGAGCAGCGCCGTGAGTCCGCGCGCGCCCCGGACGAGAGCGGGGGAGGGGCAGCAAACGGAGGCCTCCTGCTGCGAGGCCTGGGCCGTGGCGGTGCCTCCCTTCTGATTCAGCGGCTTGGCCACCCTCCCCTTAGGAAGCTGACACCTTCTGGGCCTCCCTGCTCCCCGAGCTGGAGGGGTGGAGGGACCTTTACAACACAGACGCAGCGCTGCTGTGGGTGGGCTGGGGAGCGCAGCAGTGGTGTATGCATCAGTGCCCATTCCCCGCCTACCCCCACCCCCCACCCCAGCACGTCTTTAGCCCCATTTCCAGCCCTATTACAGTCTCCTGCTTGGGATGGGACTTAGCCCTTTTTTGTGGTATGGATGTGTAAGAAGAGCTAGGATGCCGCAGGTTAATAATTACAACAATAATAACAGGCATTGAGGTTTGCAGAAATATTTTATAGACATATCATTTCACTCTGCAAATTAACAACAATAATTAGCATGCGTGGGAGGTAGGTGCTCTTAACTCCGTTTTACAGATGAAGAAACTGAGGCCGGCAGAGGTTAAGTGTTAAGCCTAGAGTCACGTAGCCAGTAAATGTCTGAAACAGGATTTGAACGCTGGTCTTCTTGACTCTAGCTCCCCCCACATTCTATCAGCTACACGACTTTGCTGCTTAAGGATTGATGGAACAAGCCATTTTATTTTGAGGACTGAGGGAAGGAGCCATCTGATTTTTCTCCTGCTTTTTTTCTAACCCATCTTTCTACCTCCAGGCCCCCAGATAAGAGAACTTCAAACTGTGAACTAAAAACTTCATGTCTCTTCTCTTGACAATTGGTGTTCCTTTTCCCCCAGGCCTTCTCCAGCACTGTTGGCCAGTTATAAATCTGGTCATGTCATTCTTCAGCTCAAAAACCTTCCATGGCTCTCAGATTAAAGTTCAGAGACCTTTGCCTGGGTTTCAAGGCCCTCAACTATGTGATGCCAGTTTATCTTTCTATTTTTATCACATAGTATTCCCCTTCAAACACTACTGCAGCCAAACTAGGCTATTCAATGTCTCAATATTCCCTTTGCTTTGTCCTCCCCTCCCTGCCCCCAACATTTCACCTTGGCTATGTGTGGAATGCCTAGAATGACCTCCCTTCCCCATTACCTGTTTATTCCAATTATCCTTCTGCCAGTAATGACCCTTGGTACTCAAGCAGCACTTTGTTTTGCCTTTCTCTAATGCACACTGAGGTAATAGTGTATATTGTAATTATCTGTGTTTGTGCTTTACTCTGTATCCCCCATTGCCTAATAGCACAGGGTTCTGCACACAGTAGGTGTTTAATACACCTTAACTGAGTTGTGTTGAATTTTAAGTTAGTTTTTAGGCCCAGGAGGTGAGAGAATTCCAGGTATTTGATTTTAAAAGACTGGGGAGAAAAATTACAGGAAAATGTAGGAAGTAAAGTTAGTAGAAAAATATGGCCTTTATAATGTGGATGGGATGGGATGGCATGTTCTGGCCCCAGCCCTAAGATCATGTCTCTGGAAGCCTCCCAATTTCTCAGTAGGCTCCTGCCCAGTGAGAAAATTTTCTCTTGTTACAGAATACTTCCTCTTAACGGAACAGACGCGAGGCTGCCTAGCCCAAGGATTTTTGTCCCTGGCTGGCCCAAGGACTCTCCCTCGTTTGAGATCCCCGAGGTCCATGCCTCTAACAATACCCTCAATGTCTGGTATCAATAAAATTGTCTCTGCAGACTCCCTGCATTTTCTAGTCCATAGATCCAAAAACACCTGGACCCCTAGATTACTGAATTAGAATCCTTGGCATTCTTTTTCATTGTCCCTTTTCCATATAAGCCCAGCACCATCTTCCATATCTCACAGATTTCGATAAGAACCCTTGCCTGCTTCCATTAGCATCATAATAAACTTTTTTGCCATTTGACTAAGACAAGGCTTGAGTGTGTGAATTTGTTCCAGGCAACACCACCTTGGCATTTTTGGGGTCTCAGCACCCCCAAACCTCTTCAGATGGATCACACATCCCTTATCTATCACAGTTCACAAGCATGTAGTGAGCAACTGTTATCTAGAAGGTTTTATATTATGTGTAAAAAATAGAAGACAGTCCCTGTCCTAAAGACCCTTCTGAATCAGGGAGTCTTAACTTTTTACAAACATCTTTGGCAAACTGGTGAAGCGTATAGACTTTATCTCAGAATAATGTTTTCGAATGAATAAGATACTTAGGATTACCAAAAAAACTATGTTGAAGTACAATTATAAACTTTTTTCTTAAGTTCAAGAACCTCAGATTAAGAGCCCCCTATTCTAAACGAATTAGTGGGACATTAGATAACCTTTAAGTGTTGAGTGAAAGGTGGTGGATATGTGTATAGTATATATTCAATGTGGGCAGGTAAGTGGTGAAGTGGATAGAGAACATTGGCCCTGGAGTCAGGAGGACCTGAGTTCAAATACAGCCCCAGACACCTACTAGCAGTGTGACCCTGGGCAAGTCACTTCACCCAATTTGCCTCAGTTTCCTCATCTGTAAAATGAGACAAAGAAGGAAATGGCAAACCACCCAAATATCTTTGCTAAGAAAACCCCAAATGGGGTCACAAAAAGTGGAGCATGACTGAACAACTACAACAAAAATGTATTTAGTGTATTACCAAGTTTATCATGGGCTAAAGGTATCCTGTGGCCTGCTGAACAGTGGCATTTCTAACTTGTAAAGCCTGGAAACTTTGCTAGGGACAATTCTGTTTTCCCAATCTCTGCTCTTCTTTTATTAATCCATCGAGGGCTCAGGAGAGGGTTTCAAGGGAGTATGCCTAGATGTTAGGACAAGATTCCTGTGTGACCGAATGTGTTTGGTGTTTTGTTTTGAATTTGGGTTTTTTTTGTTTTGTTTTGCTTGCCTTTTTTTGAAGAATTTTTCAGTCTGGGCCTTTTGGAGGAAAAAATTGAGGCATGTCAGTGGAAAGTAGAGGATGGAAATTACCTGCAGATAGAGATAACAACTTTAAAATCTTCACGAAGGAAAGCCTATTTAATGCCTAACTTTTAAAATGTTGCAGGAAACTGCTAAGTTGTGTTAGATGGGCAGGCACTCTTGAAGCCTGAAGACTGTTATTGTTAAGTCATTTTTCAATTGTGTATGGTTCTTCATGACTCCGTTTGGGGTTTTCACGGCAAAGATACTAGAATGGTTTGCCATTTCTTTCTCCAGCTGATTTTACAGATGAGGAAACTGAGGCAAATAGGATGAAGTGACCTGCCCAGGGTCATACACCTAGTAAGTGTCTGAGGCTGCATTTGAATTTAGGTCCTCCAGACTCCAGGGCCAATGCTCTATCCACTATACCACCTAATTGTTCCTCTATGTTTTTGTTTTTGGTTTGTTTGTTTTTTGGGTTTTTTTTTTTTTTTGGTTGAATAAAAGAACACTTTTAAGAAAGAAAAGCTTCCATTTCAGCATCCTG